ATTCTAGCATGCTAGTTAACATTCGTGTCAGTCAGCTATTGGCTCTCACGCTGGCCAATAGAATCTTTCTGCCTATTCGTGGCAGCTAGCTAATGGCTAGTACAAAATGCCCGCAAACTACATGAGAAGTGCCGTAGAAGCATGAAAAAATCGATTATTTCTACTATCGTTGGGAGTTGGGAAATGCAAAGTCGGTCTTGGCCTTGCCGCTAACTTGGAGCATGTACATATAAATTTTGGTGCAAATCCGTCGAAAATTGCGCCCGTGCATTCGTTACACACACACACACATACTACCTTTTATAGAGAGAGATATGGCCATGTGTGAGTGTGTGTGTGTGTGTGTGTGTGTGTGTGTGTGAAATATATATATATATATATATATATATATATATATATATATATATATACAGAATGCACTGGGTCTATCTGGGACTCATGAGCAGTGCGCATCCACTAACGTCATACCAATTGTGCCACGAGCCTCGGTAACAAAGTATACTCGAGCATGTTTCATTGAATAATATAGATATATTATGGCTCCTCCGAGATTATCTTAAGAGTGGAATTGCGAAGACAATCTTAATGTAGTTGATATCGTTGCGATGGTGATTTTTGTAAACAAGCGTGAATTTTACCATTTTAAATTTAGCCGTGGTATCTATGATGTTTTTGCAAACCAGTATCCACAATATATGGGACATTACCAGAAACGGTAAAAATTCAAAATGACATTGTTTGTAAAATGCATTTTAAAGATTTGCTAATACACTCGTCATAAATTGTGTTGGGTGTTGGCTAGTTGCTTTTCCTATAGACGTTCGCAAGAATTTGAGCGTTATGTTTATTTTATTTTTCATGGTGTAGCATACTGAGTTTTTCAGCAGTTTTTTTCCTGTATTGTGAACTTGGAGAGGAATGTGTTTTTATATATTGTGAAATAAAACTTGTATCCGACAAATGAATGGTAAAGCATGTTGATAATATGGTGGTCGTCAAACCAATATATGGACTTTTTTTTGTCAGAAACACAATCACCCAAAGGAGATTTAAACTGATATACAAAGTTGGTATTTCCCAAAACATTACGGACAAGAGTTATGTCGTATTGTTAAGTTGGTTGTATTAAAGCTAGTATACTATATAATTAGTTTTATTTTTTACTATGATGAGTGAAGAATATATTAATACTCATAAGATATACACTTCGGCGTCTTCCTTGATGCATGTCAGCTAACATCAAGAATCTAATTAGAAAACTAGAAAATATTATAATACTATAATAAACATAATTCAATGAAACTGTTTTGAATGAAGATATGTTGTATATATATATATATATATATATATATATATATATATATATATATATATATATATATATATATATATATATATAAAGTAAAGAATTAGTGCATACAGGAATAAAATCCAATAACCAAAAATACTATTCTTAAAAGAGTGTTCAATACAGAGTAGATCAAATAAAATTTATAGAAAATTATAACAAAAACATGCTATAAATCACTACAAAAATAGACATTTTGTCTCAACACTTCTGGTGTCTTATCAGACAATGGTTTTAAATGTGGAACGGACATTCTACATTCTACACCATCACTTGATAACTCCAGAAGTGTTGAAACAAAATGACTATTTTTTAGTGATTTTTAACATGCTTATGTTATAATTTTCGAATAAATTTATATATATATACACACACACACACACACACATATATATATATATATATATATATATATATATATATAATAAAAAGGCTTAAACACTAATATTCCATGGTCATAATTTATTCCATTGGAATCGTAAATTTTTTCTGAAAATATACATGTATGGGAATTTTTTAGATATTTAAGCCTTTTTATTATATCCTTACTCTGTCCTAGACATTGAGTTCTACCTGGATCCTTCCTCTTGGAAAATTTTTTTCTGAAAATATACATGTATTTTTAGATATATTTTTCATATGTATGTATATTTTCCACTAATATTATCTATATATATATATATATATATATATATATATATATATATATATATATATATATATATATATATTATAATTAAAGGTCTACTTCTGTATAGAGCACTGTTTTTAAAAAATAAAAACAAAAAATACTAAAGAACTCCGGATTATTTACCTAACGTATTCTTTCCTATTTTTCTACATACCTGCACACACACACACACACACACAAACACACACACATATATACATATATATATATATATATATATATATATATATATATATATATATATATATATATATATATATGATGTGATACTGTTAATATGCAAGCAAGGAAAATGTCTGATAATGTCCCAGCATATTAATTTAAAGATAGATTACAATTTCAAATTTCTCACCTGGTTTCGAAATATCGCCGATCACAGACTGAACGATGGACAAATGTTGATTTCATTATTATATGGTTAAGAACGCTGAGAACGAATACCATAATAAGCCGTATTAACAATAAGAAGCAAAACAAAAATACACTAGCCGTCTGTAAAAAAAATAAACTGGGGAGAACCAAATAGCACAATTTGATTTCCTGTCGGGCATCTTCAGTCAAGCGAATCATATCAGAAATCACCTGTCAGTTGGGGAAACAAGCCATGAATACAAGTTAACAAGATTTAATGATAAGTTAAGCTATTATTGTCTGTAATCACCAACAAGTCCCAACTATTTTCCCTTTTATACAAAACATTTTTCACACTAGTTTGATATTTTGGGTTCGTTACTTCAAACGGTAGACATCAACAAATCGGAATGTGTCATTGATTTTCATCTGTGATAATTTTTATATTTAGATGTTTTTTCTTTTTTGTTCCTGTTCTTAGATATATTTCTTCCATTTTCTTTTTTTATTATCCATTTTCTTTCTCTTTGATTTTCTTGTATTCTGTGTTTTTTTGTATTTATTTCTTCTTTTCTTCATTCTCTTTTAGCATCCTTTTTTTTTTCTTTTTCCGTTCTTTCTCTATTGTTCCTTTCTTCTTTACGATTGTATTTTCCAATTCTCTTTATCTGGCATCTCAGTTTAGCACTTTTTCCCAGCGTTTTAATGTTGCCTCCCTTTACCTTTTCTGTAAATATTTTCATAGTAATTGTTCGGATGAGCACTTTGATACGGTACCTAGACTTTAAAAAAAAACATTAATTGCAGTAGTAGATTAGCGTCGAAATCTTATCAATTTACAGTTGCGTGTATTAGATGTAGGACTAAATTCTATGCTAACAGTTTCTTTTCTCGCTTGTGAAACTCCTGTCCGCCGCCATGTTTTCCAGCCAATTTTAATCTGCAAGAATTTAAATGCTATTAACATTGATTGCTTATGTAGCTATACGTAAAAATTCTGTGGCATCTCTTAGTCAGTCCGTTCGCCACACCCATTAAAATAGCCATACATTGACAGATCGAAACCAAATTTTGGGTAGAATTGCTGTTATAAAGGAAAAGGGAAAAAAGAAATATTCTTAAAAAAAAAGCTCCTATAAAATTAAATTAAATTAAAGAAATTATTAAACTGCAAAGTAGGTTTTTTTTTTTAAATGTCAGAGTATTTTTCCAAACAAATCAATTTATTCAAATTTCATCGATTGGTTTGTGAAATTGAAGGAAACGTAGAGTTTGTAAATCTTGACAACAAACGTTAGCGATAATTTGAAAAATACCAAAGACTGTATTTATAAATGTTGTTTATAAATGTTGCTATCATAACATTTGAAATTTTAGGTGAGGTCACTTTTTCACTCTCTTTTGATTTGATTTGAGTTTTAGACACTTTTGCATGTGTGTGCATGTTTTCATTGTAGGCAGATTTTAAGCCATCAGTTGATAATGTGTCTTTATTTTCATTTTTTGAACTGCTTCTATATTTTTCTCGGGTTCGACATCGTTAAGAAACTATTATCTCCGAATTATTGAGGGCATAATAAAGTGTTGAAATGACACCAGAAATATTACACACACTCAGACTATCATGAGTCTGCAATATATGGTTTGCTGGATAAACAATTCCAGGAGTCATAAAACGGTTATTATTTCTGTTTTGGAGCACACTAACCAAATATGTACTGATCTCTGGTTATCTCAGATATCAACCCTACCCATCCATATTCATCTTCATATAACCTCGATTATCGTCTGGTTCAACTTCCTTCCCAGTCTTTTGAACGAGAGTAGAATTTTATCATTGCTTCCTTTGTAGGGCTGGATTCCTAGTTTGTTCTAAAGTCTTCTTCAAATCTTGTCCTTTCCTACGCTAATATAATTTCACACAGTAAAACTCTGCCTTACTGTCTCTTGAGCCTGGTATTGGGTATATATTAGTAAAAGAAAATTAACTGCATCGAGTAAATGTTTGGCTGCAATGGTTCAGCCGTTTGACCTGCTATAACATACATTACTCAGTAGTAATAGATGTGTGTATGTGTGCGTGTCTGTGTATGTGTGCTCATGCGTTTTATGAGTCTCGATGCTCTTGTTTCAGTAAAGTGATTAATACATTTTTATTATATTAAATTCTGATAATTCTATTGGTATATATTAATATATTGTGTTTACTAAATTATCAGTTATAATTTGTTTCTTTTCGTCTTACCAAATTGTTCCATTTCTCATCGATTTCCATCATCGCTATTAACCGATAAAAATTATTAGTAAAAGAAAGCCTAATCTTCTAAAATGGTTACCCATTAGAAGAAAGAAAATCTCCCTTTGAGCTTGAATGTCAATAACGTCTGTTTCGAATTCCTGCGACAGTTCCGTGTAGATTTTCATTGAAAGCAAACAGACGATAAGTCAATTCTATATTCACCTTTTTGTCAGAAAATACTTTAAAAAAAAAGGGAAAAAAAGAAGAAAATAAACAATATACTAAGTATACCAAAAAAAATTATGCACATTGAAAATGTAGAAGAAAAGACCTCCAATGTCGTCTGGGATATGTGTATTTGTATATTACCGTTACAAAGTTCGGATCGCGTCTAAAGAAGGTTTAGACTTGCCTACGGGTTGAGGGAAAGTTTGAAAGGTCACTGCAAAGGTCTGTGGCATATGTAGGCTATGAACCTGGGTTTTGAGTGGTTTCTTGGCGAATCGAGTTAGTGGAAGTGAAAAGAAAGAGACGCTTTGAGTTTGTAAAGACGAAAGAAAGAGAAAGCCAAAGTGAGAATGTTGAGAAAAGAAACGAAGAGAGAGGATGGAGTGGAGTATTTTTAAAAGAAAATGAAAAAGAGAATAGAGAAAATAACTGAGAAATGTGCTTACAACTTGTAAACAGTCGAAAAATAGATTAAGGAATTAGCTAGAACAATAAAGATAATTCTATAATTAAAGTGGGGGGGAAAAAGTTAGAAAAAATCAGAATCAATGAAAATAAACTCGGAAAAAGAAAAAGAAAGTTGTGAAATTTAGGGAGAAGAAATAGGATGAAATATATATCTTTGAAATGAAAGAAAATGTCAACACGATAGAATTGTAAACAAAAGTCTATAACATATGATATAATTTTTATTGAATGTTCGTACATGTTTCAAATCAGTTTTTCTTTTCAGCAGCTAGATTTAAGCCGCTTTAATTTGCGTCTTGATTAAGGGACTAGCCTCGCGAAACGGGGTGGCCCTTGCAGGATGTCTCACTGGCGATAGTGCTAAGTAATGCTTCCGCCATCTTTCTCCATCATTGCGGCTGGGAGAGGATAGCAAAAAAATTGTTTTTGTTTTCAGATACTTTGTTCAAATAAGAACTTTGTTTATATATATATAAAAAAAATTAAGTTCAAATGAAATAAGACAATACAAATTCGCAAAGAAAATAATTTTTTAAAATGTTAAAGACGAAGAAAAAAGTATTTTCCCGCAGAAAACGATTGCTTTAATTCGGTAAAACTACTGTTACATCATCAAGACTGCAATATAGGGTGGAATTTGTTTAGTAGCTAATTGATACGATGCTATATAAATTTCTTAATAGCATTTTGGTGTACATTAACTGACGAATACGAATAGTTTCATCAGTCAGTCGGCAACTAGTATTTACCTTTAAATATATTATCAAGCTCTTTTATTCCGGTGTGCCTTGGTAGTATACATGCTGAATAATTGTTTACTTCGTGCATTTGCTTAAATAATATGGACTAAAAAGAGGGACTTTGAAAGCCCGGTGTTTTTGTAGCTCTATTTTGACCTTAGCATTATGCTACTTCGTGGAGGCTCTTTTGTAATGTTTGTAAACGGTTTAATTCATATTTTTAAATGAGTCTGTTTCTACCTTTTTTCATGATGTTTCTTTTTCCTGTTGGCATTATTTTGTTGTGTGGTATCTTTATGAATTTGGCCAAAAATACACTATCTTTCTTGAATATACTTCGTTAAAAGATTTGTTAGAAATCTGAGAGTTGCTGTTTGGTTGTTGTTGGCGGGTGGTTGGAAGATGCGTGTATGCAAATTGAGTTTTCTATATCGTTTATATATACCATTTCTCAGACTGAGTGTGGCATCTACCTTTTTAGGTCTAGGAAGTCTATCTGAATTGTAACAGGACAGGTGCAACAAACTATTTATTTAAATTTCAAAAAAGAAACTATATGATTTCCTTTACAAAGTAACCCCACTTTAAAGTCTAATGCACTTTTCACTTCTTCTCTGCCACACTTATATGCAGTGCTGGAAAGATTCTTCTTGGGCCCCCGTCATCTCCGTCTTTACGGCCCACTTGATGAACTCCGCGCCTTCAAAATGGGCCCCCTTCAAAATGAGCCCACTTCAAAATCGGCCTGCCAGGAACTTACGGATGCCTAGGACGTTGTAAGCAAGTGCATTGTCTTGCCACAATACATGTGAAAATGGCTGTGAAAACTGAAATGACAGTTATATATTCCCAAGATAACATTTTAGCTGATAACACAATCCGCTTATCTATTGTTCATCTAGAGTTCACACAGAATGCTCAGTCTTTTTACTTTTCAGACAGACCTCGTATGTCGAAAATACCAGGGATAGAGCGTATGTAAATATAAATATACTTAATACTGATAGCCCAAAATGGCGTACTCTCTAGTGACCATCGTGAGGGAAGACACCAAGAAAGCCTTATATGGACTGCCTCAAGAAGTCCCTCGGTACCTACCACATAGACCATCGCTAGCGGTCGACACTTGCTGCTGACGGTCAAACTTGACGCTGTACCGTCCACCGGGCCGTCTCCACCTTTGAGGACCCTCGCAGGGCCAACCTGAAAGAGAAACGCCGTAGGAGGAACGGCCGGGAAGCCTCGGCAACTATAACAGACCAGACCTTTAATTGGATTTGCCTGTGCCGTATCGGCCTAGTCGGTCATCAGCGTGCCTGCAGTCGTTGTGGACAGCTCACTTTATAAATCTTCGTTCGCGAAGTCAAGCCAAGAAGAGAAAAAGATCAATACCGAGCGTTGAAAGTTTGTTCCATGCTTGAATGCCATCTCCAACGTATGTTGTATTTTGTCTTGACTATAGAATAACTTCATTTAGATTCCTAATTATTCCTGCTGAATAGACACTAATTCTGGATCTGAAGTCGGATATTTGTCGCTATCTCTTGAGATAATCTATTTTTTTATGAATGAAACTTCTCCGAGTCCTGAAATTACAATTGGAGGTCTTTCATTCGGATATACGGATTCGTTAGTTGGCGCATAAATTATGTGAGTTGGTTGGCGAAGTTAGTTATCGTAGAAATCTGCTTCGGAGCAGTACGTGTCTATCATTTGCTGACCTGACATGTAAACCATACCAAAAAAAACTAGTAACACACGACTAAAGTTATTTTGAGCTATTTATACTTGGCGATAAACCTTTATCTTTTTCTGACCATAATCACTAAAATTCAAATAAAACCTTTTTTTCAAAGTTAGGATGTTTGTCTTCTTTGGTAGTTGCATAATTAAAAGAAAGGAAAAACTTGTAATTCCAACGAATGGTTTATTTTTTATGAAAATATTTCGGCTGGCAGTTGCCAGACTTCGTCACTCTTTAATTTGATGAGATGAATTATTTTCCACCGTAAAAACTCCAGAGAGAAGACACTGTGTTCCACTTCCTAATTTGTCGCTATTTCCTTAAGAAATTCTGATATGCTACATCCTTTATTCCCAACAGTTTCGAAATTTACAGCTAAGACACACCGTACCACAGACACAAGTCCGAATCATCTTCATCCCCCTCTTACGCCATTACTAAGAAGGAAGTTTAATTTAGACATCTTCTTTCCAGAACTGCTATATTGTTGAGAAGACAGACAAGGAAATGCTTTCCCAATCATTAGATTCTTAACTTCTGTGTTTTTAACCGTTTTCTGACATACATATCTTCATCATCTGCATTTCTTACCTCCACGAATCCTGGGTGTGAAGATAAAGTACAGCAGCAAGACATCTGATCGGAAGAGAGTAGGCTTTGAGGAGCGCGGAACCATTTAACTGCTGTTGTTGCCAGTTCCACCCTGACACGGGATCGTAGCACCTGTTCGAGTCCCAACTATGAGAAAATAGTAAACGCCCCAAACAAAAATCAACAGGGTGTTTTTATAATAAAATGACCAACAATACATTTTTATAAACAGAATGACAATCAATACAAAACTAAATAAAAATACATTTTTATAGTAAAATTATCAACAATACATTTCATGATATACAAACTATATATCTAAAAAAAAAAAACAGACCTTTACGTTGAAAGTATAAAATTATGTACAGAATATCTGTAGTCGAAAGCATACAACTGTGTTCAAAATATTATGAGTTCGTCATTATATAATCCATAGAAGGTGATATGCCGCTAACAAGAATAACTAACCAGCCATATTTATAGTAATATTGCCAACAATACTTATTTATAATAAAATTATCAAAAATACATATTAAAAGCAAAATGACCAACAATACATTTTATCTCTATGTGAAGGCATACAAAATATATTTAGTTAAATCAATAAAATCGTGTTCAAAATATTTAGATTTCGGCATTAAATAAAACAGAGATGCTGATATGCCGCTAAACAAAATCAATCAGCCAAAATCTTACCTCCTTCTTTTAGAACCACATTCAGTAAACTTTTACAATGAGTTGGTCTTGAAGTGCGTATTAGTAAAAAAGAAAAACAATGAAAGAAACACGTTCTACATTACTGTGCATGTCTACTACAGGAAACCAAGAAGTTCGAAGAAATTGAAGGGCGAATACAAGATGTTATGTCTTCAATACCACAAGGGTTTCTGGTGAAACCAGTTGACGCGATTCCTGGCTAGCTTGAGAAGCTGTTAATGAAATAAAACCTTAAACGCTTTCCCCTCATATCCATTTCTTGTAAAAATTAGAGTTGATAATTAAATTATAATTTTAAAATACTTACTTTTACTTTTCAGGCAACCTGAATATATATATATATATATATATATATATATATATATATATATATATATATATATATATATATATATATATATATATATATAGCATAATGAGAAGCTAGGTATACTTTCTTAATATGTATATATAAAAAGTTTCAAATTAAAAAAATAATAATGTTTTATTTTATGGAAGTATTTATTTATTTATATGTATATTTGATATTTCAAATTGTCCTCAATTTTCATCAGAAATAACTGTTTGTTACAAATAAATTAAAATTACTGTTTGTTAGCAAGTAGCGTCCTTCGCAAGACGCGGACGTCACGTGATATGGAACGTCACTGTTCGGATATTCCTAACTTAAATCTAACTGTCATAAAAGATTTTAAATGTTGTTTAAAAATTTTTTAACTATATCTAAAAAATTGTTAACTATTGAAATATTTATAAAGATTTAAAACACCTAAGTCCCTATTCAACCCTAGTTTATGTGTATTTAATTTTAAAATCCAATATGTTTCTTTTTTTCTGCGTGTGAATGTGGAAGTAAAATCGGAATCTATCAATAAACATTTGCAGTTTTCTAACGTGTGTCCTGATTGATTGTAGTGTTTAGCTATGGGGGAATAAATATATATAAAGAATGTATAAACATAAAACTGTCTTAAAATAATTGTCGGACTTTGCCCATTTCAAAATCTGTGACGTCATTTGTTTACATTTGATACGCCATGAGCAGATATGAATGTACGTGAGAGATTCATGGAAGATTGAAGTTTAAATACAGTAAATTCAATCTTGCTAACCGATCTCCCCTCTGTGGACAAATCGGTACAGGCACCTCAAGCTAAATGACGGTTCCGTATAGGATACAGGTTCGAATCCTGTCGGAGGACGAATATTTTCTGTGAAAATTTCTCGGACATCCAGGCCGGTAAATGTTGTTTAATAAAGTTTATTATAAACAGAGCATTTACTTAAATATTTGTATCTCTAAAAAAATGTATAAACATAAAAATGTCTTTATATATATATATATATATATATATATATATATATATATATATAATGTGTGTGCGTGCGTATGTTTGTCTGTACAAGTGCTGAAGTACAATATACAATCAATGGCTTACACATACGGATATTTATATAAGTATATACACATACATATATACGGTTTTTCTAAGATAGGTATATGTTCCATTAATACATCGATAATAAGTCTATTTCCATTCGACAGTAGTAATGTCTATTTCCGGTACAAGTGTAGCAACTTTTACTTCTGAAAACCTCGCGACGGCAAGTATTTCTTACGGAAGCAAAGACATTTCTCCAAAATATTTGCAACAAGTCCCCATCAATCAGATGAAGAAATCTTGTATTTGCTTGACTTATCTCAGCTAACCATATACTCCGTGTTTTTATCACGAACTGGCATTTACAGACAGCCTTGCCTAAAGGTCGTTTATATCAAAGAGCAAAAGAAAAGTCGCATGTTTTGTTTGAAATATAAATATATAATATGTCGAAGTCTAGAATACGCGGTTTCTTTCGACAGGGACTCTGTCAATATTGTCGTCTTTGTGTCGGTAGAAAAAGCAGACAGAAATAAAGCAATGTGCGTGTGACTTTCATATCGAAATAACGACGTCTGAGTGGACCTGAACTCTACGAAAAATATGATATAAGGGCGCGAGTCTTATATTAAACATCAAGCTTGTAACTGAGATCTTAAAATGCTCTTGGTCCATTGATGTACAAAATAGCTAGGTAAAAAATGGTTTAAAGTTACAGAGGAATTGGCGGCTTTTATATAATCGAGAACAGTGGATCAACACTTTGCTTCCTCTCCTTGTTGGCATTGTCACTGATGGCGGCGGCAACGGTTGTTGTTGTGTAGAGATTTATATTAACGTTGCGTGGTTTTTAGTGGAGATGTAAATACGGAGTCAATTTCAAAAGCGTAGGACATTCAAGATAAACATGGCAATGAGAGGATAACGGACAGAAGACATAAAGCAATATGAAAGACGAAGTTGAAGAGGGTCAATAATGAGATGAGTAACATTTAGAACAAGTTCGTGCGTCCAAGAAAAGACGATGACAATGAAGAGAAGATTGAATGTTTGAAAGAATCGTTAAGAAGAAAAGGGGCCAAAAAAAAAAAAACGAAAGAAAAATGTTATTGAAAGAGAAAAGAAGAGAAAAAAGTAAAAAAATAAAGGAAACATGAGATAAACTGGGATTGATAGTTTGTAATGATGGAAAATAAAAGAAATATTGAAAAGAAAAATAAAGACGGAAATGCAAAACGGGGAGGCGAAGAAATATCATAATTTTAACATATAGTGATTGTCAGCAGCCACGTGTATCCGATCATCGAGATCGTCATTCTCTCTCCCTTTTCTTGTTCTCTCTCCCTTTTCTTGTTCTCTCTCCCTTTTCTTGTTCTCTCTCCTGACGGCGCCAATCGCGTGAATTTTATTTTGGTGGTCTTGTGGTGATCAATTACATGTGCCACACCTCCGTTTTCTTTAATGACATTGGTTCATAAATATATGATACTTACTATATGACCATTTTGCCATCGCACATTATTTGAACTTTTCTCTAAAATCACGGATTGGTCCATTTCCTGGCCAATCGCGTATTTTAGTATCTTTCTAATATTTTTTGGCACCAAGCTCACCTGAGCCTATGCATACCTATATAAACTCTCTCGCTGTTAGCCAACATTGGTAGCGGTTCAATTCTCTGAATATACGGCACGGCGCTATATTACTTATAACATTTTAATTCTTAGTTATTACTCATTCGAGTAATCTTACTAACTTCTATTAATATCACTTGTGCACATTACATCTTTTCACACTCACAGACTGTGGAATTATTGTTCATTTGAGCTAAGAACATTAATTGAATTTTATAGTTTATTACCATTCAATATTGTAACTCAACATTACTTAGCTGCATTCACCCTTTTTATTATAGAAAAAGGGAAGTAACTTTTTTTATACTTATTGTTGATATTTGTATATCATTGTTAATACAATATTTATTTAATGTTTATGGAGTTTGACTCATTTCTCTCATATATTCTGTGCATATTTCATGTGGCGTGTTGTTTATAAGAACACAGCTTTCCTTCTTGATTGCTATTATATTTCACGGTAACCCTAGCCAACATATCTTACAACACCACTACAGTCTCTGCGCGAGGGAGAAGCCCACACACTTGGCCAGAAACGCCTCCCTCGCGGCACAAGGGGGGTTGAGACAGATGAGAATCGGGACACCTGGTTGCATCGGGCTGTCGGAAAAGAAAAGGAAATAAATAAAATAGTGAAGAAGAAGAAGAAGAAGAAGAAGAAGAAGAAGAAGAAGAAGAATTAAACGAGGAGCTGGAATAAATAGCGAGAAGAAAACGAAAAAGAAGGAGGTGGAAAGAGAGAAGGTGTGAAGAAGGAGAAAGAGAATGAAGAAACAAAAAGAGGAAGAAAAGTTTGAAGAGGAGGAAGAAGAATAACGATGAAAGAGGAGATAGCATGATAAAGACAAAAGAGAAATAACAGAAAAAAAAAAAAGTATCAAGAAGAACAAGAAAAAGAACAAGATGAATAAAAAGGGGAGGTATGACGGAAGGGAAGAATGGCAAGAGAAAGTTAGGAAGAAAAAGCATGAGGAGGTGGTGAAGGCTTGAAGGTAGAAGAGAAAAGAAGAGGAAACGTGACAGATAAAAAGAAGAGGGTGGTGGAGTAGGAGGCATGGCGAGAGACAT